TTGAGTTGATCGCCACCCTGACTTATACAAAATATACCAGTTAGAGTGAAGCGCCAAGATTTTATAATCCGTATATTCTTTCTTAAATCATCTTTAGCTGCTCGTCCTTACACTCTTCCTACATCTTCCTACCAAGTCGGGCCTATAGACCCAAACATTCCAACACCGGCCACAACAAGCGTAAGAACACAGTCTAACCCAGTTAAGTTTATCGTTATTAGTCACGACCTCGAGATGTACTAATCGAGACTCTGCACGAGCAAGCTAAATTTGAAGACAACTTGGCAGTCGGCTTGCTAATAGTGCTAATAAGTGAGTATTTCTATCGGCTAGAATAATTCTCATGTAACTAGTTGGCTATATTAGTAAAATTCAAAATTTATGTCGCCCTATAAATAACCCTTGTAGGCAGATCTGACACGTGGACCAATTGTTCCTAGTGCAGTTTGCGATATTAGACTCGCAGTGGTGCGGATTACGGAGGAAGGATTTTCCGATGACGCCCTGGTCTGTTCTCCTGGTTCCAACCGAAGAGCAGCTTCACCCTGCTCTTTTGAGCTTTTCAGCTCATTCCCAATGCATTATTCCGATGTCATTTGGCCTGTATCTTAACCTTTCTTGAATTTAACCTCTGACATTGTTACATTTCGTCGCGACTCGACTTCATCGCAGGATACTTGATGGCACAACCACCGGAGCCGGCAGCCGAGATAATCCTAAGAACATTGAATGGAGAGATTACATATGAGGAGGCCGCTGATCAGGAGACCAATGTCCTGCCGGAGCTGACATATTGGCGGAGGATGGACGACTTCGGTAGCTATCTCCTTGACCACAAAAAGGAGATTGAACATATCGTATCACGCTACTTGCGTCTCGACGGCGCCGAGAAATGCTGTCTCTCACCTCCTCCTGAGTGGAACTATGGTAGCTTCAATCTGTGCTTGCCTGCTTCTATTATCAACTGGAAGAAGCGCCCTGGGGGGAGGGTAATGATTCGCTTTCCGCTCCCTTTCAAAGTTGGTGAATCGGACTTTCCGGGCAACTCTGACGAGAAGCTTCGTTCTGAAGTGGCTACCTATTCCTGGATTGGCAAGAATTGTCCGGAAGTTCCTCTACCCTGTCTTTGGGGATTTGCATTCGCTGGTGGTCCTAGTGTGAGTCTATTTCTCAGGTTTACCGAAAGCATACGAGATTACGTTTCTTAATATGTGTCGAGGCAATGTAGTTTGCTGCGTTGGATACCGCTCCATTCCTCTCTCGATTTTTCGAAAAACTTCGACGCCAAATTTGGTCTCTGCTTGGTTACGCAGTACCATGCCAATATGTGCAGTTAAACTCTCCCTATAATCTCAACACAGGGCATATGGTCATTGATTACATTGAACCTGCTGATGCGGAGATGCTCTCTTCAACGTGGGAAACGAAGCGACACGATGAGCGTGCAAGAGCCAATTTATTTCGTGGCCTTTCACGCATCATGCTCGCGCTCGGAAAAGTTCCATTGCAACGTATTGGGTCTTTTACTATGGACAACCAGGGAGTTATTAGTCTCACGAATCGACCGCTTAGGCTTCAGCTACATCAACTAGAGAACGAGGGTATCCCGACGAATATCAGCAGAGACACCACCTATACCTCCATAGAACCATTCTTGCACGACATTCTAGCTTGTCATGACAGTCGTTTACGACATCAGCTGAACGCCGCGAATGATGAGGCTGATTGCAAAGCGCAGATGGCAGTTTTAAGCGCTTTCCGAACAATCCTCCCGCTTTTTGTACGCCGAGATTTACGTTCCGGACCATATATACTAACTCTGACCGATATTCATGCGAGCAATATCTTCGTTGATACGGAATGGAACATCAAATATCTAATCGACCTGGAATGGGCCTGTTCACTACCACTAGAAATGCTACATCCGCCGTCGTGGTTATCAGATGAACCTTTTGAGAGACTGTCCCCTCAGTTTGACGAGTTATATCAGGAGTTTATAGACATCTTCAAGGGAGAGGAGGCCCTTTATTTCTCACCGTCACAACACCAGCGAGGACCACAGTTTTTCACGGAAACTATGAGACAGGGATGGGAAGCTGGAAATTTCTTCTATTTTCTTGGACTAGAGAGTGTTACTGGACTATATTTCATCTTCCAACGACGCATTCGACCTCGATTCGACACCTCTAATGAATTTCCTGATGAAGCTCTTTCTGCGTATTGGGGGCAAGGCAGTGAGCAATTTATTGCCGGCAAAGTCCAACAAAAAAAGGAATATGACGAGAAACTCAGGCAGGCGTTTAAGAGTGAGGATGCCTGAATTGAATGTCAGCTTGGATCGTTTCCTTTCTTCATTGTTTCTTACTCACCAACTCTTGCAGAATCCGTTAGCTTTTACCTTGCCTACTTCTTAGATGATTCCCCTTTAGCTATGGCATTCTGATTTTCTCTTCTCTTATCCTGAGCCGCCCTGCCCGACGAAGACAATTGTTTGGCGGCCTTTGTAGTGATACCGATGCCTGCAGAAGCCTCTTTCACCACATGTTGACTCGTTGGACGAGTTTTGTCATCAGCCATTTTGAGAATGCCAAATTCGTCTATGGATAATAACTTTGTTTGGACACTGGGGTTTGTGGTGCTAAGATAAAGGCGAAGAGTATGTCCAAGAAATGAACCATCTTTTCTTCTGTCTTCTAGTCGAGCGGAAGTTCCAGCTTAAATGGAAAAAACAGTGACTACGCTAACACATGCAAGTTCCGTCGTGAGAGTGGTGTTCAAGCAGGACAAATCAAAACTTGACACGCTTTCGAGTTGTCATCATGCAACTTCATGCTAGTGGGGTCAGATGCTAGGTAACAATATGATGTTGGTTTGCATTGCGAGGTTGCCGACAGTCAAGACCCTCTCATCCCTCCAGGGCGTACTGTGATGCCTGAGTACGAACTCAGATTGTACACTTTTTAGGATGAAAGATAAGGCTGTCAGTCATACTACGTTGGGTTGTTTCTTCACCATTTGAGCCCAGATCCACTGAATCACCAGACTGCTGCACAGGAATTCTGACATTTCAGTCAAGCATTTGCGTACCAGACTTCTACCAACATACATGACATGGGTCCGTGCCTCCATTGCCAACATTGACCCCGCTCACCAGCAAGTGCAACAGTCCCCGATTCTGGTGTTTGGCAACACCTCAAGCTACTTAAGTAAGAAATCGAACTAAAGTGGTCGCATATCAAGGTCGCCGAACCCCCAGTCGTGTTCGTCTGCACATAGCCCCCGAGGTTTGGAGAGTCTGGGTTGGAACACGTCGGATGGGATTAGTGCCAGCAGGCGGCCCATGACCCATGATTCTTTTGCAGGGGATCAAGTATTCAATGTTCTAAAGTGTAGATATGTCTGGTAAGCCAACGCAGTTTGCCCGTGCCGTGCCGCCTTGCTAAGCCACCAGACCCAATGCAGTCGGGTGCTCTCAAATGACCAGTTGACCAGACAGATATCATATCTCGACCCAGACCAGACGGGACCTCCGCACATGCACCCGTGCGTGATGTGTCCACACAGCATGTCTGATGCACAAGACTTAAAATTGATCACCCATAGCCTCCATGTCTGGACCCGCTGTACGAAACCTGTTGAACCACCCGCATGTGGCTCTGTAGCCGCCGAATACTTGATACCCCAGTCTCTTCAACCCTCAACTCGCACAGCCAACGAGCTCATTGTCACAGCATTCAAGGTTGATCGTAACCCCCAAGAACCCAAATACCTCCAGCAATGCCCGTTGCGTCGAAAGCGAGTTAAGTCCTGGTGGTCTGGGGTATGATGTCTGATCCTAAAATTTAGTATTTTTTAATATTTTTATAAGCTTATAAATCTATTATAAAAGTCCTTATAATTATATTTTAACCATAAAATTATATATAATATAACCAATTATATTATAAACTATATTATATTATAATTATATTATAAATTATACTAAAAATTATATATAGTGTAGTTTTTTTGTTACAGCTCTAGGCGTCTTAAAGG